CTCTTCGGGCTCTTGGATACCTTTTTCTTGCTACGTGTGCGTGTTCTTTAGATCCTCAGATGGCTCTAGCACTCTCGTGACCACGGGCTGAGAGTCTTTGCTAGATTTTGGCATTTAGCAACTGGCATACGGTTTAACGTGAAGTCAACAACAACAACAACAACATAATAAATAGGACGAAAACACACACTACGTTTCTACGACTCCCCGAGTGGCAAGCATAGAGCGGTGTCTCCCCTGTGGGTCACAGGCTCTACGGGACAGTTTGTGGTGGAAAGGTCTTTATGTTGCACCCGTAGAACACACATGTTTGGCACATCCGCCAATCATGCGTATGCATACTAGACGGCCCGACGGTTTACTCCCTGCTTCGATGTTGATCTTTGGTTGTTGTTGCGCCGCGGTTGTACAGCATGTACGGCATAGGCGAACGTCAGCAGGCGAGCGTTGGCAGGTGTACACGAACAATTTGGCGTGTGCGCATGTCGGTGGGGGCTTGCCCAACTTTTACTGGAGGCCACGTATCAAATCGAATGAAGCTTCTTGGTCTCGTCGGGTCGATATCCGTGGGTCCGTCCGGTGTCGCTCTGATTCTTCTTTTCGGCACCTGGGGGTGGCACTTTCAATTTTTGGAGGGTGAACCATCACCAGCTAAATAATACGTGTCGATCTCGTCTAAAAGCCCCCACCGTCTTCGCCCGCGGCGGTCCCTCTCCATTCGCTCTTGCTTGGGGTGCACTCTTCGATGCCACCGTGGACCATATTGAAAAACTACTCGAGCATTTGACAACAGGAAACAACAACAAAAACAACAGTATCAACACCACCACAACGACACGATCTGTCCGTGCTCGAACGCTTCGCAGGTGCATATTGTTCCTCTATCACGCTCTCGGCAAAGAGGCGGGCCACGATGATGATGCCCCCCCCCTCGCGTCGATGGACTTCTCGGCGGAGGGGAATGCCGCGGCAGGTAACGGCGAAGGGCGCGGGATTCGCGGCCGCTACAAGCTGATCGTCGCCTCCAACAGGGACGAAGACCTCGGCCGACCGACGGCCCCCATTCACTTCTGGAAGGACGCGGGCTCGAACTTGCTGGCAGGCGAGTATCCAAAGGCGCGACCACGTGTCTTACGCTTGTTTCAGTACCTTGGTCTGATCTGGATTATTTCTTTGCAAAGCGTAGAACGAGAGAATCGAACAATTGAGACAGACAACCGAGCATCCTGCCCGTCCTGATTGCCATGCCTGCATCCTCCCCCCCCTCACTCCCATCTATGTTTTGCATGCATACCAAGGTCGCGATCTGGTCGCAGGTGGGACCTGGCTGGGCGTGAGCCGCTCCGGAAAGTTCGCCACCCTGACTAACGTCTTCTCGACCTGGGAGTCCATGCTCGAGGTCGTGGCCCTGGGAGGGTGGGCCAACAAGGCGGCGGCAATGGCCGCCGCCACCGCCGCCGCCGCCGCCGCCACCGTCGCGGCCATCCTCCGCGCCCGGTCTGGCCGCGAGCACGGGAGCAGCAGTAGTGATGCTACTAGCGGCAGCAGCGGCGGCGGCGGTGGCGGCGGCTGGTGTCCTGCTGCTGCTGCTGCAGTGGTGCCGAGCTTGGGCTTTTCTACGCCGGCGGGCTCGTCGTCGTCGTCGTCGTTGCTCGGCTGGCTGTACGCGCTGTGCGCGGCGGCGGGGCTGGTCACGGCCGCCTCGGTGCCCCTGGCGGTGGCGGTGGCGAGGATCAAGGCCCGGAAGAGCCGGGGCGGGCTCGTGGCCGACTTCTTGAAGGGCGACGAGGACGCAGAGACATACTGCGCACGACTATCCAAGGTGGGTAGGATGGGGAAG